GGCCTCTCGCCTCCTGGAGGCAGTTCTGATGCCTCGGGGGGGCTGTTTTGGCGTCCTTGGAGGCCTTTTGGGTGCCTCTTGGGGGCCTCTTGGAGCCTCCTTTGGCCTCTTGGGGGCCTCTTGGGGCCTCATGGGCGCCTCTTGGGGCGAAAGGTTCGAATTGTCGGTGCGTGCCTTTGTGGGCCCTGGAAACGGCAGGGCTGTTTTTTCACCGTTTCCAAAAACATGTCCCTTGAAAAGGGAAACGGCAAAAAAACGGCGACCGGAAACGGCCAAAAAACGGCTCCAGGATTGGAGCTGGAGCCAGAACCAGTCAAAAAACGGCGACGGAACCGGTAAAACAACGGCGTCGGAACCGGCAAAACAAAGGCAAAAGGGAACCGGTAAAAAAGCGGCCCTGTCGTTTCCAGGGCCCCCCCGCTCTTGGGCCCTTCGTGGGCCCGTCGTGGGGCCCGTCTGTGGGCCGGCTCGGGCGCCTCTGGGGCCGTCTTGGGGGGCTCTCTTGGCCTGACTTGGGAGCCTCCCGAGGGCCTCTTGGATCGCGGAGGGCCGATCCGGCGCCTCTTGGGCCGTCTTGGAGCGTCGGCAGGCGGAAGAGGCGAGGAGGCCGAAAACAGAGGAGGAGGAGGAGGAGGAGAAGGAGGAGGAGGAGGAGGAGGAGGAGGAGGAGGAGGCGAGAAGGCCGAAAACAATCAAACATCTGAGGGGGGATCAAAGACTTGGGCCTCTTGGGGCCCTCTTGGGACGGCTCTTGGAGCATTTTTGGAGCGTCTTGGGGGCCTCTTGGGCCGTGTTGAGGCCACCTGGGGCGTGTTGGGGCGATCTTTCGGCGACTCTGGGCGTTACGCGAGAACGCTTCCTGGAGCCCAAGGAGATTTGAGAATTTGGGGTCCAGACCCCTCAAGAGACTCCTCATGAGTGAGGACTGACTATCAGCAGATCAGGCAAAGAACTTGAGGGCCCGCCCACTCCGTGCCCAGGGCACGGTGGCGGACTCTGTTGAGGAGGATATGGACGAGGAGGAGGAGGAGGAGCAGGAGGAGGAGGACGAGGAGGAAGAGGTGGAGGTGGAGGAGGAGGAGGGGTCCCCGTAGGAATTGTGAGTCAAGCTGTGGTGCACTCCCACGTCGAGATGTGGCCAACCGTGTCGTCAGCGCGCCAGAGTCATCGCGTGGGCCGTCGCTCCGTCGTCCTGCGCTTGCTCGTCTGCTCCTTCGCAAGCTCGCACCGCAGCGTCGTCGCTGACCTCCCTCTCCTGGACGACTTCGTGGGCTTCCCCAGCCGGAACCTGCTGGTCGGGTGCTGCGTGCAGGGCAGGGACCGGGTCGCCTGGGTCGAGAGCCAGCGCGGCCGGGCGAACATCTGGGCCTCGGACGAGGGGGAGGGCTGGACCCCTAGGATGCTGACCAACTACACGGAGGACGATGGCGGGGCGGTGAGCTTCCTGGAGTTCGCCCTGAACGGCTCCGCTCTCGTCTTCCACCGCGGCGCCGGCGCGGGCGCGAACCCGAGGCACCTGGCCACGCTGCCGGCCGCCGCGTCGTGGGTGGTGCCGTTCGCGGGCGGCGAGGCCCTGCGGCGCGCACGGGGGGTCGGCGCGAGCGGGTGGGTGCCTCCCGAGGGATGGCGGAGGAAGGGGGGGGGGGGGGCTTGCAGTCGACCCGCACGGGAAGGAGGGGCCACCTTCCCAAGGGGGGGTGCCCCCTGGCATCCTTGCCCCTCCTCGGCCCGTCCTCGGCCAGGTTCGTGGGCCGCGCGAGCCGCTCGAAGAGCTTCGAGGTATGGGCGTCCACGGCCCCTGCATCCTTATCGCGCATTTTCGTGATATACGGGCCGACGGCGTGTCGAGGAGGCGGGGAGGCTTCCCTCAGGGCAGGGCTGGACCTGAACGGCGTTTTTTTGCGATTTCGTGGGCCGTTTTCGTTTCGACTTCATTTTGCGGTAAAGGCGGATTCGAGACAAAAGCGAGGGACACACCGTCCAGGTTCAGCCCTGCCTCAGGGGGGCCCGGGGGCTTCCCGGCGGCCCGGTCCTTCGGGGCCCCTCGCGAGGAGGCCCCCCCTGCCTTCTCTCACATTGCCAGTTTGAAACATAGCCCTACCCTGCTGATGTTCTGACCTACTCTAGCCTTCACCACCAGAAAGAATTCCGAGCACCAGAAAAGTACCCAAACTCGAGGGCTCGACACTGTTTCGACACTCTTTCGACACTCTCTCGACACTTGTCCGGGTGCTTGAACTTATTCCTGGGATTTGGTCCTCGAGTACGATGGGAACAACATAACCCTATCCCTGTGTCTGGCATCGCCTCACCTCTTACCAACCTGGAACATATCCCTATCCCTATGCTGGGCATCTCCTCATCACGATGCCAATCTTAGGGATTCCCTTATTTGTTGAGGGCGCATCCCTAATATTGTCATCGCTTTTTGGCGTGTCAATCTTAGGGATAGGGATAAGTTCGAGGCTGGTAAACCTCGACGCCGATCTTGAGGATTCCCCTCGGTTTCTGGGGGCACGTCCCCGAGATGGCCCTCGCTCTTCGCTCGCCCCTTCCCAGGGATAGGGAGAAGTTCGAGGCTGGCTCTCGGGAGTCCCCCCTTCAGGAGGGGACAAAAACACACATACACAATTAATCGTCGACGCCCAGCAAAATATGGGAAAATATGGGAATTGGGCGGGAAGACACAAACCCAGAAAATATGGAAAAATATGGGGAACCATTTTATTTGTGTGTATTTATTTGTGTGTCCTTGGGCCCCTTGACCCCTCCCCGCCTCCGAGCGGGCTCACGTCGGGCCTGTCCCTCTGCAGGAGGGATCTTCGAGAACGGTCAAAACATAGTCCAGGGGGTGATTTTGGGAGCATTTTTGTTTGCCACTCTGGGATATTCTGTGACTATGTTTTATGTCGTCCAGAATCCCCCCTGTGGGGGGACAGGCCCGACTTACACATAGCTCTATCCCTGTGTTAAGCATCGCCTCACCTCGACGTCGATCTCGAGGATCCCCTCGGTTTCTGGGGGCACATCCATGTTTTTTGGGAGCCTTTTCTGTTGTTGCCAGTCTGGGGCATGTTTTTTGGCTATGTGCCATGTCTCGTCCCAGATCCCCCCTGTGGGGGGACAGGCCAGACTTGAGAGCAGGCCGCCTTCGGCCGGAGGAGGAGGAGGAGGAGGAGGAGGAGGAGGAGGAGGGGAGGAGGAGGAGGAGGAGGGAGGAGGAGGAGGAGGAGGAGTGAGGAGGGGAGGAGAGGTAGGAGGAGGTTGGAGAGGAGGAGGCAGAGGAGAGGGAGAGGGCGAAGGAGGAGGAGGAGAGGAGGAGGAGAGAGGAGGAGGAGGAGGAGGAGGAGGAGGAGGAGAGGAGGCGCCGCGAGGCGCGGGCGCTGACGGGTGCGGAGGCCCTGGCGCTCTCCGGCGGGGGGGCGGCGCTCCTCTTCGCGGCCCGCGGGGGCGGCCGCGGCGCCAGCGCCTCGCTCTGGGAGCAGGGCCTCGGCGCCGCCGCGGGGGAGGCGAGGAGGCTCGGCCTAGCAGAGGACGAGATCGGGCCTCCTCCTACTCCTACCTCGTTCTCCTCCTCCTGCATCCTCCTCCTCCTCCTCCTCCTCCTCCTCCTCTCCTCCTCCTCACTCCACCTCCTCCTCCTCCTGCCTCCTCCTCCTCCTCCTCCTCCTTTCCCCCCCCTTCCCCTTCCCCTCCCACCCCCTCCTCCTCCTCCTCCTCCTCCTCCCCCCCCGCCTCCTCCTCCTCCCTCCTCCTCTCCGTCCTCCTCCCCTCCTCCTCCTCCTCCTCCTGCTCCTCCTGGGCCGGGGCCTGGGCCTCGGCGCCAGTGGGCACCGCCGGCGCCCAGGCCCTCCCGGCCCTCCGAGTACTCCAAAACAGTAGAAATAGTTAGGGGGGCGGTTTTTCGCGACCATTTTTTGGGCATTCGTTTTCGATGTGTGTTTCTGCTCCTCCAGAAGCCGCCTGTAGGAGGACATGCCTGACCTAACGCCGGAAACTGTGCACCTGCACCGCTGCTGGCCGGGCGGATCTCGGGCCCAGGACCGGTAGGGTGACGTGCCAGCTGTGCATGCGGGCAGGGCTTGTATTCATTGCCACCGCGTCCTGGAGTTTCGGGCCCTCTTCCCCAGGAACCAGGGGCACAGTGGACGTGGTTAACAATCTGGCCCCCAGAAGCTACACCTTTATCCACATCCACTGCGCCTCGGCTTCTGACGCTCCTCCCTAGAAAGTTCAAGACGCAGTGGATATGGATATAAATATTGTCCCCGTGATGAAGAGTCGCAGCCGCCGCCCGTCCGCATATACCGCTTGGCCCGGCTCGCGCTTGCAAGAATAACTCTTCTCCGCATCTTGGGCCCAGACAGGCATGGTCAGATGCTCACTGTAATCCTGCACCGATCCTGCCCAGGCCCATCTCGGGCCTCCCTGTCCAAGCCAGGATGGCGTGCACCAGCGATCCCGGGGGCTCCAGGGTGAGCCTGGCCAGGGTCGGTGCAGGTGCCCGGCGCTCTCCCCACAGGCTGTTCAGCGTCCAGCAGGGCGACCTCGCAGACCCGAGCTGGCGACCCGGGGGCGGCGTCCTGGCGTTCGCGAACGGCCGCGGGGACCACGGCTTCGTCGGGCTGTACTCCCGCGGGTCCGAGGCCCTCGTCTGGGTAGCGCCGAGCGTGGACACGGACCTGCAGCCCGCGTGGGCGCCTGGTGGGCGCTCGCTGGCCTGGGTGCGCGCCAGGCTGCCGCCGGGCAACGTGGGGTTCAGCCCCTGCCCGGAGAGCGGAAAACGGCATGACAGCAGAACCTTTCGGAGGTCCGCGCAGATATCGCTCGGCTCGGCGCTGGGTGGGGGGGGGGCCCCTGGGCCGCGCCGCCCGCGCCGACCCAGGGTGTCTGTGCGGGCCTGCGCAAGAGCCCTGGTGGTGCTGCCTTTTTCTCCCTCTCCTGCGCTCGACGGCAACATGGGCAATCGGGGGCCGGACTTCTCCATCATGGTCGCGGAGGTGTCCGTGGACGCCGCGGGCAGGCCGGGAGTGGCCCACGCCAGGGAGGTGTTCCGGGACGACAGGTACGGGATGCTCGTCTTCGGGTTCGGGCAGCGGCCTCTCCTGTGGCTCGCCGACGACGTCGTCCTGTTCGGCACGGAGGCCCTGAGCGGCTGGGGGCACGCCGTGGTGCTGGACGTCGGGAGCGCCTCGCCCGGCCCGAGGGAGGTCCGCGCCGGCAGCTGCGAGGACCTCTCCTGGTCGGTGGCCGACGGCTGGATCTACCTCGTCAGCAACTGCCTCGACCCCGACGGCGTGGGCGTGGAGCGCTTCCGTGCCTCCGACCTGCGCCGCGAGGCCGTCGGCACGGGGGCGCTCGCCGTGGCGGGCGCGTCGGACGTGGGCCGCGGGCTGGCGCCGCTCTCCAGGCACAAGGGCGCCCACGAGGGCGCGAAGTCATTCGCGCGTCGCGCTCGGCGGTCCTCGCTCCTCCTCCCCCCCCTCCTCGTCCTCCTTTTCTCCCTTAGGGGGGCGGCGGCGCGAGAGTGCGAAGTTATTCGCGCTTCGCGGAGCGCGAAGCGTTATGTCGGGCATGTCCCCCTACAGGGGGATGTTCGACGAAAAATATAAGATACCCATAACATACCCCAAAAAGGTAAACAAATACTCCAAAAATAGTCCCCGGACTATTTTTGGATCATCTTTTGACCGTTTGGGAGGTCTTTTTTATTTTTCGTCGAAAATCCCCCTGTAGGGGGATAGGCCCGACATAAGCGAAGCGCGAAGTTGGGAGCCCTGGAGGCACGTGGCCTTGCTCGGCGCGAGCAAGGCCTTTTTTGTTGTTGTTGTTGTTGTTGTTGTTGCTGTTGTTGAACATTATTAATTCTAAAGAATAATTATTGTTGGGCCCCCTGGTGCACGCCCCCCCCCCCCGCGCCTAGGCCGCAGCCACATTTTCATAATTTTCGTGAGGAAGTCTCAGGTAAAACGATGTCATCCAGATCCGGTTGTTTTGTTGACGCCCGCTTTCCCTGTCAAAAAAACACTATAAAATGACATGTCTTGTTCTAACATAACCAAACTTCAAGAATCCTTTGCAAAAAATGACACGAAGTGCACACTCGCGCGCGCAAGATGAAATCCTTCCAAAACCTTAGTTTTCGTAGCGATTTTAACATAAAAACATGAAAAACCCAATGGTTTTTCAAAAAAAAAGTTTCAAAACATCATCTTGCGCGCTCTTGCGGATTTCTGAGGAAACCCAATATTTTTTCAACATTTCTGTCAAACGGGCTCTTGCGAGCAACTTTTTCACGTGCTTCGAACTTCTGCAACAACGGTTGCGCGCATGCCAGGGCCATCATCCCTGTCAAATAATACCATATTGGACACATTCGTTTTTTCTTCGCGCGCGCACGCCGTCGTCGTCGGCCGCGGGGCCCTGAATAGTAGCCACGGTCGTCCGCATGCCACGAAGTGAAGTGTCCGAACGTCATAGGGCGGGAAGCTGGGTGTGGGTGGTGGCGAAGAGTCGTATGGAAATTTGGTAGAGCTTGAACCGGCCCCCCCACAAAGTGGGGGTATTGCCCGCCTCCTATGAAACCCTGGCACTGGTGAGAACGGAGTGTCCCCACGTGCTAGTAATTGTTGTTGTTGTTGTTGTTGTTGTTGTTGTTGTTGTTGTTGTTGTTGTTGTTGCTGGTTGTTGTTGTTGTTGTTGTTGCTGTTGTTGTTGTTGAACATTATTACTTCTAAAAAATAATTATTGTTGGGGCCCCTGGTGCGCGGCCCCCTCGCCGCGCCTAGGCCGCAGCCATGTTTTCATCATTTTCGTGAGGAAGTCTCCGGCAAAACGGGTTGGTCCGGATCCGGTTGTTTTGTTACGGGCGGTTTTCCCTTGCAAGAAATAAGGCAAAGTGGACATTTCTTGTTCTAACATAACCAAACTTCAAGAATCCCTTGCAACAAATAAGGTAAAGTGGACATTCGCGCGCGCAAGACGAAATCCTTCCAAAACCCTAGTGTTCGTAGCGATTTTAACATAAAAACATCAAACAACCAATGGTTTTTCAAAAAAAAAAAGTGTCAACATTTCATCCCGCGCGCTCTTGCGGATTTGTAGGAAACCCAACACTTTTTAAACAATTCTGTCAAACGGGCTTTTGCGAGCAACTTTTTCACGTGCTTCGAACTTCTCCAACAACGGTTGCGCACCTGCCAGGGCCATCATCCCTGTCAAATAATACCATGCGGGACACATTCGTTTTTTCTTCGCGCGCGCACGCCGTATACTAAGCTAGCGTCCAGAAAATGTTACCACAACGAGTCACTGTACCCATGCGCCAGTGTAGTAGCCACGGTCGTCCGCAGGCCACGAAGTGAAGTGTCCGAACGTCATAGGGCGGGAAGCTGGGTGTGGGTGGTGGCGAAGAGTCGTTTGGAAATTTGGTAGAGCTTGAACCGGCCCCCCCCCACAAAGTGGGGGTATTGCCCGCCTCCTATGAAAACCCTGGCACTGGTGAGAACGGTGTGTCCCCACGTGCTAGTAATTGTTGTTGTTGTTGTTGTTGTTGTTGTTGTTGTTGTTGTTGTTGTTGTGTTTGTTGTTGTTGTTGAACATTATTTATTCTAAAGAATAATTATTGTTGGGCCCCCTGGTGCGCGCCCCCCCTGCGCCGCCTAGGCCGCAGCTACATTTTCATCATTTTCGTGAGGAAGCCTCAGGTAAAACGATGTGATCCAGATCCGGTTGTTTTGTTGTAATCCGTTTTCCCTTGCAAAAAACACTATAAAATGAAATTTCTTGTTCTAACATAACCAAACTTCAAGAATCCTTTGCAAAAAATGACACGAAGTGCACACTCGCGCGCGCAAGATGAAATCCTTCCAAAACCTTAGTTTTCGTAGCGATTTTAACATAAAAACATGAAAAACCCAATGGTTTTTCAAAAAACAAGTTTCAAAAATTCATCTTGCGCGCTCTTGCGGATTTCTGAGGAAACCCAATATTTTTTCAACATTTCTGTCAAACGGGCTCTTGCGAGCAACTTTTTCACGTGCTTCGAACTTCTGCAACCACGGTTGCGCGCATGTCAGGGCCATCATCCCTGTCAAATAATACCATATTGGACACATTCGTTTTTTCTTCGCGCGCGCACGCCGTCGTCGTCGGCCGCGGGGCCCTGAATAGTAGCCACGGTCGTCCGCATGCCACGAAGTGAAGTGTCCGAACGTCATAGGGCGGGAAGCTGGGTGTGGGTGGTGGCGAAGAGTCGTATGGAAATTTGGTAGAGCTTGAACCGGCCCCCCCACAAAGTGGGGGTATTGCCCGCCTCCTATGAAAACCCTGGCACTGGTGAGAACGGAGTGTCCCCAGTCTTAAATAATTGTTGTTGTCGTTGTTGTTGTTGTTGTTGTTGTTGTTGTTGTTGTTGTTGTTGTTTGTTTTTGTGTTTTTTTTATGTTTTTTTTTTTTTTTTTTTTTTGTGTTTTGTTTGTTTCTCCCCCAGAGGCACGTGGCCTTCCTCGGCGCGAGCTTCGACCGGCCCGCCGGGGTGTACGTGGTCCCCACGGGCGGCGGAGGCCTCCGCAGCGTCACGGCCGACGCGGGCTCTCGGGCGAGCGAGCGAGCAGCACACACACACACACCAACGGTTAAGTCGGGCTTGTCCCCCTACAGGGGGATTTTCGATGAAAAATACAAAGTACCCTCCAACATAGTCGAAAGAGAGTCCCAAAAATAGTCTGGGGAATATTTTTGGAGTATGTTTGACCTTTTTGGGGCATTTGTGGGGTATTGTTAATGTTTCGTCGAAAATCCCCCTGTAGGGGGACAGGCCCGACATAAACCAAGGGCGCCCTCGAGGGCGCGAAGTTACTCGCGCTTCGCGCTTCGGCTACAATTCCTCCTCGTCCTCCTCTTCTCCCCTGGGAGGCGGCGCGAGAGCGCGAAGCGATTCGCGCTTCGCGCTCCGCGCAGCGCGAAGCGCGAAGTTGGGAGCCCTTGAATACTTAAGTCGGGCTTGTCCCTCTACAGGGGGAATGTGGAAAACTAGTCCAACAAACAGTCTGGGGACGGTTTGTGTTTTGACCACTTTTGATCATTCGGGAGTATGTTTTGAATATTTTTTATCTGCCGCCCAAAATCCCCCTGTAGGGGGACACGCTCGACTCAAACCCATACCCCATACCCCATACGGGGGCGTTGCCGGGGGGCGGAGGGGGCCCTGGGTGCGTGTTGCCCCATGGGGGGTCCCCGGTCGAACGGGAGCCTCCCCCGGGGTCCGACAACACCCATAGCCAGTGCTCCCCCCCCTCCTCCTCTTCCTCCTCCTCCTCCTCCTCCTCCTCCTCCTCCTCCTCCTCCTCCTCCTCCTCCCTCCTCCTCCTCCTCCTCCTCCCCCTCCTCCTCCTCCTCCTCCTCCTCCTCCTCCCCCTCCTCCCCTCCTCCTCCCCCCTCCCCCCTCCTCCTCCTCCTCCTCCCCCCCCCCCTATAGAATATCACAGAACCCTACCAGACGGCCCTTGGCATTCTGCGAGGCATCAGCGTGCCAAGGGGCACGCTGACGGCTCATGACCGTGGCCATGGCCGTGCACGCTCCCGGTGTGTGTGTGTGTGTGTGTGTGTTGTTCGTTCGTCAGGTTTTGACGCGGGCGGCTTCGTTCGTCCACAGGTCGTCAAGTTCAACTCGTCGGATGGCCTCTTCACCCTGCACGGGCAGCTTTTCCTGCCCCACGGCGGGGGGCCCAGCGGCTGCCGTGGCGTCAAGGTTCCTGGAATCGTCTACACTCACGGCGGCTCCGAGCGGCAGATGTACCCGGCATTCCACTATTCGGGCACCTATGCGCAAGAGTATGCGGCAAACCAGTGGCTGGCCTCCCAGGGGTTCGCGGTGCTGAGCGTGAACTACAGGTCGGGCACCGGCTATGGCCACGATTTCCGCGTGTGCGATCGATGCATGGCGCGCGGCGCCGCGGAGTACATGGATGTAAGGCAGGCGGCCGTGTACCTGGGCAGCGTTGCTGGGGTCGATGCCGATCGGATCGGCATCTGGGGGCTGAGCTACGGTGGGCTGAACGCGGAGCAGGCCTGCTCCCGAGACTCCGGCCTCTTCAAGGCCTGTGTGGCCATCGCGGGCATCTTCAACTGGGTGTCCGCCGAACGCTACACCACAGACCTCCCGGGCCGGACGAAAGGGGGGGATTGGGAAAGGGGGGGGTCACGAAATCTGCAGCATGCAGCTGGTTTCGGCCCCACGGAGGGGCCCATTCCTCGATACATGGCCGCCTCCGGCGTCGGGAGGCGCCGGGAAAATCAGCTACGTGAGCTGATTCTAGCCCCCCGTTGCTATCCCCCCCTTTTCGCCCGGCCCGAACCTCGGGCTCTCGGTGTACGATGCCGACGAGCAGCCCGAGCTCCCTGGCGGCTTCCGGTCCCTGCGCACCGGCCCGGAGCCCGCCTGGGCAGGCCCAGACTGGAGCGCGCGGGCGCGGGAGGTGCAGGCCCTGATGCTGGACAGCTCCCCCGCGGGGCACCTGGAGAACCTCACGAGCCCGATGCTCCTGATCCACGGCGACGCGGACGAGGATGGTGGGCCTGCTTTCCACCACCACCACCACCAGAAGTTGGAGGGGGGAAGGAGGTGGAGGAGGAGGAGGAGGAGGAGGAGGACCCCCTCCCCCTCCTACTCATGGTGGTGGCGGTGGAGAACAAGCCCACCAGAGGAGGTCGACTTCCAGGAGACGCTGGGCGCGGTCCGGGCCGTGCGCGCGCTGGGGCGAGGCAACGTGGAGGCGGTCGTGGTCCCCGACGAGGGGCACGGCTTCGTGACGTATGCGCACCAGGCTTCAGTCGGGCGTGTCCCTCTGCAGGAGGAACATACGCCCAAACAGTCAGAACATAGTATGGGGATCGCATCTGGACTACTTCTAACGTGTTCTGGATGTTTTGGCCAGTTCATAATTTTCGCCCAAACTCCGCCTGTAGGAGGACATGCCTTGAAGCTCGCTGAGGGGCACCGAACGCGATTTGTGTTTCTGGGGCGACGGGGGAGAGGGCAATCTTTTGTAGGGCAAGAGCAAGCATGAGCAGCCCAATCGTCGGCAAGAGTAAACCTGAAATCAGAGCTTCTCGCGAAGGGCGGCTGTAAGGATTGCTGTTGACCGATCAAGCGCGCCCGCCGAGCGTACGGGGATATGGCCCTGGAAACAACGCTGCCCCCCCCCCCCCAGCGACCTTCAAGACATGCCCGACCTGACACCAGGCCCAGTCGCTGCAGGCCACCGGGGACTTCCTCGAGAGGCACCTGCGGGGGGACTGCGGCGGGGCTGTTCTCGTCTGAGCGGCGGGCCAGCGCGCCCGAGGCGCAGGCCGCGCGTGCACCCTTGCTGGCGCCGGCGTTGGCGTCGGGCACCGGGCAGCGGCGTCGGTGCCTCGAAGAGCAGGCACAGGCGGTCGGATTTCTCGAGTCGGCGCCGCGGGCCCCCCCCTGGCGGCGCCTCTCCGCCCCGGGCGCGCGCTCCGCGCGGCGCTTTTCAGCGGTGGAATGCCCGTGCTGCTGCTGCTGTGCCTCGCTCGTCGTCGGCATCCTCTCCTGGCTGCTTCGCTTCGCGTCCCGCTCCGCCTCCCTGCGCCTCTCCCGCCCCCTCGAGGGGCCCGCGCCCGCCAGCGGCCCGGGGCCAGCTCTCCGCGAGCTCGGTGGGGCGCTGGGCCGCGCGGGGCGCTCGGGCCGCTGCCCCCGCGCACGCCGCGGCGGGCGCCGCGGCGAGGGTCCGCACCGCGCGGACGCGGCGGCGACCCGGCCGAAGGCGTTCCAGGTCGAACGCCGGCCTTGGCCCAGAGGCGGCCGTGCACCTGGGCAGCGTTGCTGGGGTCGATGCCGATCGGATCGGCATCTGGGGGCTGAGCTACGGTGGGCTGAACGCGGAGCAGGCCTGCTCCCGAGACTCCGGCCTCTTCAAGGCCTGCAGTGTGGCCATCGCGGGCATCATCAACTGGGTGTCCGCCGAACGCTACACCACAGACCTCCCGGGCCGGACGAAAGGGGGGGATTGGGAAAGGGGGGGGTCACGAAATCTGCTGCGTGCAGCTGGTTTCGGCCCCGCCGCCGGGCCCGTTCCTCGATGCGTGGGCGCCTCCCGGCGCCCGGAGGCGCCGGGAAAATCGGCTACGTGAGCCGATTCTCAACCCCCACCTTTGCTATCCCCCCCCTTTCGCCCGACCCGAAGGCCGAACGCCGGCCTTGGCCCAGAGTCGGCCATCATGGAATTACTGTTAAGTCGGACATGTCCCTCTGCAGGCGGAGCGGTCAAGAGGAGCCAACCAGATAGTCCGGGGACGACTGCAGGAGTATGTCTTGAAGACTGTTGAATAGTTTGTGCGACTATGTTTTATGTTTCGTCAGATCCGCCTGTAGGAGGACGTGCCCGACCTAAAGCTACTTGGCGATCGCAGAGCTGCCGCTCCTGGCCTTCAGGTCCCGGCGAGCGACCGCCGCACCCTGCTGCTCCTCCAGGCCT